ATAATACTCGTAGTTCAGTCAGTGTAAATTGCGTTTGGAGAAGATTTAAGAATTTATATAGATGTTGATAAAACTGTTTAAGGGTGAGGAGTTGTGTGAATTTTATCAGTTGGAATGAAATTATTTTTGTCTACCACAATAGGAGACAGGCGTATCGCATATGTATGTTTGTTAGAGTTTTTGCAAATGGTACGTACTTGTATAAAGTAACTAGTACTAACTGTATCGAAGAAGAGTATCGTTATTTTGAAATTTTTGTAGTTTCTTATTATTGTACTTAAGAAGTTTGCTTTGGTCTTGATTTTTACCGCCCATTGGGCGGTAAAGATAAACCTTGGGGTTTTAGCCAGTAGGAGTCCGGCAGTACCCTTCGTTGCTCCTGCAGCGGATGGACTCCATAACATGGATTTCCCCAAGTAAAGAAAAGGTATTTAATGGTTCTGGTCACATTCATTTATTGCTATTATTTAGTTACTGTCGTTACTAAAATCAAAGTCAAAATTATCTATTATTATTATCATATATTAAATTTTTTGGTTCAAAAAAGAGAACAATTGCATCTTTTAAAAATGCTATGATTATAGTTGCATTATAAGTAACTAGTAACGTAAAGATATTATGGTAACGAGTACAACATAGTTTAGTAACTAGTACGTACGGGTACTCCATATGTTGTTACTTTTACATCTCTAATGTTTGTAGAAAATTAGGAGTAGTGTATTGCGGTAAGCCTGTACGGCGCTAAGATTTCTGTATATCGTAACGGTTGATTCGTTTTCATGCCGGTAATGAATTTTGTGGCTTCTGACTAATTTACCTTTGATTAATTTCGATCAGTGCGCGTTACCTTGTTGTAGTTTGATTTGTACTTATTGAACCCAAATGAAGGGAAAATCAAACGTTATATAAATCTCTTTTCGTATATTCAATAAATTATTTCTTTATTAACAGTAACGCGTAATTTTGCTTTTTAATTAAGTATGAGAAGTGTTTGAAATTTGGTTCAAATTTAAAAGATATATGTTATCTCCGTATATGTTGCCGCTGCCTTTGAATAATAATATAAAAACATCAACATAAAATTAAGTTGTTAAGTGAAAAACTTGTTGTCAATTTTAATTCATCTTATCTTCTAGTGTCCTCCATTCTTTGATGCATTCTATATATATGAATAAATTTGCTTGTCTTGACTGATTCAACTATAGTACTACTTAAATTGTAGGGGTCAGATGCTTAAATTTTGCCAGTTGATGCATTTTATAATATGAACATCCGCTAAGAATAGATTTTTTGAAATTCATCCTCAATAAGGCTTTTTATCTTTAATCCTACGTTCAGTGTCATATTACATACGGGTTTTTTTTTTCTAAATGCTTAATAGCTTTAATCATTAGTATGATTAAAGTAAAAGTCTATATAAAATACTTGGGTTGGGAAAACACTATAATCACTAGTTTAGTCAAATGCAGCGAACCTTCGTTAAGTACCTATGATTGGAGACCTCTATACTTGTCACTTACACTATGCTGTAACACGCAGAGTAAAACATATTAATGGACTAGTAATAAGCACAGTCTATATATTATACATATATAAATTGACTAAACGCTCTTGTGTAAATTTAATTTAAACAGAGAATGGCATATAAACTTAAAGAATAAAAATATTGTAATATAAACATATATTTTTTAATATCGATGCAATTAAATTAAGTTTGAAAAGAAAATTATGAAAATAATAAATAATTTGATAATTATTTTCGAATGTCTACTAATGTAAAGTTTTAATAAATTAATTGTTATTTCTTGTATAATAATATAAATGGATCTTAGAATAGATGGTGTTAAGATTAGCGAGATTGCGGAAAGATCAAGAAAATGGAAAAAAATGTATACGACGACTGAAAATACAAAACTTGGCAAACTGGGAGTAATTTTAAGTGGATGCTGAGCGTGTTTGATGTACAAATATTTAATGAAAATTTAAAGTAGAAGTTTTGTTAATAAAGCAATATGCAATAAGACAATGAAGAAGATGTGTAAGATAATATAAGACATACTATCATGACTGTTATCCTAGATGGGGTAGTCAGAGGCATTGTCAAATGTCAAATGTTGTGGTCAACACTTCACATGTCCACATTTCGCTAAGTATATTTCAATACAACGTGGCATGTGGGAGACTGCCGCCGTGTCTTGGATAAACTTTTGGTTTGATATCCTTCATCGGAGAGTCAGTTAGAAATATAATTAACACACCTTTTTTGTCAAATTTGAATTCATGATCCTTTGGATGTAATTCACAGTAGTACTAAGCCATGACTATCTCTCTTTTATTATTTGTATCCTTTATTTTGGCATTGATATATAGAAGAGTGATATATTGACGTAGATTCAAATGTGGTATACAGTCGTATATTGAAAATCTTATGTATTCAAATAAACATAAATAAAAAAAATAAGAAATAGTTGGGCAATGTTCACATTAGGTAATGAAATCTGAGCACTAATCATAATCACATGTAACGATTAATATTTCATAATAAAAATAGAGTTCGTGATAGTAAGTAAAGTATGATATTAAACGTAATAAAAATAATTAAATTCAAAAAGATTTATCAGACTTATAAGCACAAACTAAACTTCTGTAATAAGGATTAAATATAGATTTATTGACTAGAGAATCTTCGTGGATGAGCAACTCGCTTATTTGCACACAAATCAAGCCTTGGGGGCAATATTGAAACTTTTTGAATTGAATCGGGTGTAGCCATCCCTTGAAGTATTATTTTAGGACACTTGATACTTGAAATATTGAATATTGTAATTATTTGTTGTATTAAATTTATCTAATAATGCTATTATTGGATATTCATCCAATAATATAATTACATATTTATTGTATTTTAATAAGTAAACGTCTTATAAGTTATTACGTCAAAATTATAAATACAATTTACATTGTTGTGTGTCATATGAATTATAATATGAAAAGAAAATCATTTAACATCTTTATAAGCACGATTGTTTGCTATCGTTGGTGTCTAGGTATAAAAAAACACGGGTGATATACTTACATAGATATAATAACCTTTCTTTATCAGGTAGAATTTAGGATAGCAAATAGAGACGAACAATAAGTTTTATTAAATTAATTAATAAAATACCTACATAAATATATAACCTAAAAATATGTAAAAATACCTAATAATATACATGAAATAATGAAGACGTAGCTGTAAACGTTATAGTATTTTTGTTGGTAGAAATTTTTGGTCTTTTTCTTTAATTAATAAATGTCAAGTATTAATCGGGGTAACTTCTTATACAAGTTTATAGTCTACTATTTATAAAAATCTACAAAGTTTTATTATACGAAACTACACTATAGATTTGATATTTATCTAAATTGAAAGATAGAAGTTGGTAAAAACTTTTCATGGTTTCCGCTTGGTTTTGTCGAAAAACTACAGGAAGAAAATATTACTCGCCTTACATATTTTATATGTTATTTATAGTACCTGCGGGGACTAGCGCCGGTAGGTGTCTTTTTTTTTTAAATAACGAGTTTTCAGAGCGAACATCTATGTACACATATATATAAACTATAAAAGGCATTGTATATATATATTTTTATAAATACAACAATTTCTTAGGGTAATATCATTGTACGTAGTCATTTCATATAGACTTTGGATTAAAAAAATATATTAGCACCTTTTTATTTTAGACTATGCGACGAAGGTATTACGTTAGATGTATTTTTTTGTCTAAAGTCTCCCATAGAGAGGAATCTCCCTAGAGAATATAAGAACAAAATAATATCAAGTGTTGTGTTGTAAATATAAATTGTTATATATATATAAAGTATTAATATGAGGTTATTGAGGTTACTATTACATAGGTTTTGATTATCCCTAGAAAACTTACTACAATACGTTATATTTCCTTAATTGGATCATATGAGATTCAGTCTACGGACTTCGCTTCTTATTAAAACGTAACATAATATTTCAATTGCTAACAATTACAGGCCAATATATCGTAGCCAGTAATTACGGATCATAATACTGGTTGGTCGGACGAGCAAAACTGCAGAAATCCGATCAGTTTGTTTGTGGATACGAAGTGAAGTTGAAATAGCTTATGCATATATCCTGTATTTTTCTCTTACAAGCTGACCCGCGAAACTTCGTCTGCCCTTCATATTCTGTTTATGCAATATTTTTCATTAAAGTTTATAACACTTACAAATAACGTGGCTTTCTCTTGATAAAAGAATTTTTTAAATAACTACACTAGATTCAGAGATTATCTCTAACCTCAAAAACTTTTTCTCTTTCTAATATTAATGTCGATACGCTTCTATAGCATTAACTGTCCGCGATTTCGTCTATTTTTCAGACAGACTTTGTCTATGACGTGATGTTCGTGGTGCTCCCATGTAGATAAGATTGGTACTTACCATCAGGTTCATCAAAGTCAGTGGTTTTTATAATATTAGCCAGTATTTCTAATTTTTATTCAATACTACATTCATGTAACTGAATCAATTTGATTGACTTAGACAAAAGTTGGTAGTGGGATCGATTCCTTGCATGGTACAAACATTTGTATTTATGAAGTATAATATGTATTTAAAATATATATATATCTGTGTATTTGTATCAGTTATCTAGTATTCATAACACAAGCTTTAGCTAGCTTAACTTGGGTCTAGATGGCGCCGTGTGAATTGTCCTGAGATTATTATTATTTCAGAGAGGCTCAGTCTGAAAAGGACGGAACGGACTAAGGACTATGGAGAAAGGACTATGGACGGCACATTTTACCTTTGATGTATATACATACATGAGCAGAACAGTTCATGTGTGTATGTATCGGATCTAATGGAAATCTGCATATATCGCTTATACAGCGATATATGCAGATTCCCATTAGATCCGTCATCTTATTTGCAGGTACATAAAAAACCTTAACGTATCTTAAGTAGGTACATACCTGATTGGGACCAGTGAGGTTTAGCCCACAGGAGTTGCAGCGGAGACATTCCTCGTGGTAGTGATTGTTATCGTACAACGGCGATGGCTCTGCGAAATATGTTATTCTTTAATACGACGACATGAATTCTTATCAAAATTAATAAACAACAACAATAGTATGTAAAAAATATTATTTATCTAATATATTCGTTAATACAATAAAAATAATACAACAAATTATAGGTTTGTTCTTTCCCACCACTACCTATCAACTGCTTTCTGTTCTTACATAATGATTAGCTGGTAGAGAATGCCTTATAACATTAAGCTCGCCATATAGTACAATTTTATAAGTACAAATAAATAAATAAATAATAACAAATTGCATTCAATTGCGTCGTTTCGCTCCTTTTATACTCTTTTAAAATATACTAGTGACGTATTAATGAGCAAACCTTCGATCTGTAGTCAAATATGCAATATTAAAATAGTAATATAAATAGAATTTTGTATATACTACATATTATTTATTACGGATCGTTTATTACACAAACATTTAAAATTACATAGTATATACCTATGTAGTAGGTAGGTAGGTATAAAATATCGTCATCGTACATTGTGTTCCACCAAATTATAGTTTGGGATGGACATTCCATTATTTTGACTTAATAACAAAGAAGATAACATAAGAAAATGCAATATCGAAACAGTAAACAAGTGCGAGTCAAATTAGAATATCCGAAATATTTTATGATAATGTAATCCACGATGACTATGTTGTTTGTTTTGATGATTATATTATAATCACAACGATAATGGTGATATTTACATAAAAGATTTTATTTATTTTGATCGAGTTTTATGTTTATTTACGTTTTGTTTTATGAAGCTTCTGTACAAATATGAGAAGAATGATGAACATAATTAGCACATTGATACTCTCATCTTATTTCATTACTATATTAATTCAAATATCAATAACAAAAAACAAACAGGGAAAAATTTTTTGCGTCTTGGTCTGCTATTTACGTTTAATTTCATAAAATCCATACGTCCGTTTAGTCGTGAAAAGATGACAAATAGACTGAATAAAAGTATAAATACAAGTCTGTCGACTTTTGTATTTATAAATTTACTATGTATATGGATGTAGGGATTGACTATAAATATAAAAAAGTAACGAACAAAAATTATATTGCTGCATATAAATTTCGAGATACCATTTATTTGTACGCCAAATTTCATTAAGATTCAGCTGATAAAGATAAAGGGAAAGACATAGGTTTGAATTTATATTAGTATGAATGTGGTTGTAGTTCAATTGACATAAAATGTTTAAAAAAAACATCTAAATACTTACATATTAATAGTTTGGGAGATTTTTATTGACTTTGTCCACGTGGAATTTAAAGAAATGAAATTTATACATTACAGTAGCCTCAAGTTACTTCTTACAAAATTAGATATCTGATAATCTGATAATTACTTCAGAGATTACAAGTACAAACAGACAGATAAACACAAAATATTACAAAAAAATGTTTTTGAAGTAAGAACCATATATGTATACTTTTATATGCATTTAGTGAAAAGCTGTTAATTTGAAATTAGGATGAGATGTTAGGATCAATTTTGTTTATTTGTATTTGTACTGAAAATACAGGGCTCTCAAAAGTATTGTGGGCAACTTAGCGAAAAGTCAAGACTTGGCATGAGGCGTTACCCTTACCTTTAGATCTTAAATTATAAATAAAGGGTATTAAAGTTTTGGATTGATATACCAAAATATACTTTGTCTTACATTATGTAGGGGAACTGTTCGGTTCGGTGTTTCTTGAATGAATTTTAAAGTACTTCGTATAAACCTTCATCCTGTTGAATACATTAGAAACCCTTCTAGCCGGTTACCCATATCACTGGAAATTACTTCACGCCTCATTTTAAGTTTCGGCTAAGTTATCTTACTTGACATGTCACTGTGCAATTTAGTGTCTCCTGTGAAAAAAATTCATTGCACGAGGATCTAATTGTTCCCTTGGGAATTGTCATAAAAACGTAAATTGACAAAAGTTTCAAGAACTATTAAATATTAAATATAAAAACTTCATATAATATAAATATAAAAGTTTCAAAAATTATTAAATAATATTATAACAATTTTTTTGTTACCTTTTTATGAGACTAGAATATAAAACTATTTCGTAAAATGGCAATCTTTTTTTGCAAAATTATACGACCTCGGTTGGTGCAAATATTTGTATTCGTGAGGTATATTAATATGTTCAAGTTTACTATTCCATTTGGACGAAGCCGCGGGCACAGCTAGTCTATATATATATATATTAATATATAGCACGGACAAAAAATATACTATGAGTGCCTCATACATTACCATTTCTGAGAACTACGTCGTTATACCTCTGTACCCTGTAATTTCACTGACATGTATCATCCTTTCAAAAGTGTACGAATTTCAAAGCAAGCTGTAACGGTAGAGGTAGGTAACATAGATATATCTCTACGTACATGACTTTGTGTGATGTCTTCTTTTAGTAAAATCATCATATTTCATTCTACGCTAAATTTTCTAGATAAAAATAAAGATAAAGTTTCTTAATGACCTGAAATATGGCTACCATATCTTTTTATTTAGTTATAAATCTTTATGTTTATAAAATAGCAATACCATAAAGTTTAATACCTACTTCATATAAATTATAGATTGTGAAAAAAATTATGGACTTAGAAACGAAAAAGAAAGTGTTTCTGTAAGTATTATAAATATATTAAGGTACCTTTTAGTACGAAACCTTACATAAAATATATAAAAACCGATAAAGTGCAGCAATTAAAATTAAAAAACATACCGTACAGACCATGACGGTCTAGTAGACAAAGCCAAGAACAATAATATAAACAATACTTGATGAATTTCTTAATACCTTATGGTATTAAGAAAAGTCAAAAAGATAAAGAACTCGTGAGCTTTGCCGATATAAAATGAAAACTATATATAACAAAACACAAAATGCGCTGGATATCTATACGATCGGTAAATATAGATATTATTCAGCAAATAATAAATGGTTGCAACTGAATGGAAGGTAAATTGAATCTATACTAATATTATAAGGAGAGAGAGAGGGATTTTGTAACTCGAAAAGTAAACTCCGGTACTACTGTATACAAGAATTTATTTTACTATTGGAACATAGAATATATATTATTTTTATATAAACAAAGCTCACAAAGTTATGAGCATCTGGATAAAGGACCACTAGTAAATAATATAAGTATTAATAACTCAAAGATATTACAGTTTCTTTCTGTTATTTTCAGTAAACTCAGCATTAAAAAGTAGAGAGCCTATATTGTGTGGAGAGTTTTCATAGCAGTTCTACAATAAGAGATTTTTCCAGTTTGCAGCTATTTGATGTTTACTCATAACACAATGATTTAAAAATTAAGTAATTCTTAAAATTCTTAAAACGTAATTCTTATTAATTCTTAGTAATTCTTAAAACGGATAATTCTTAAAAATTAGGGTTAGCTAAGTTTAGGCTTAACTATATATGACCTTATCAGAGATAAACTTTCTACAAATTTAACTGGGTATCTCTGTCCTATTTATTGCGGTTGTATAATTATGACGTGATGGCGTCTAAATCTTCATATATCATACTTAGGCGACCGTAGCTACTTACTATTAAGTTACCAGTCATATTATACATATTTTTTTTCTATATATATATATATATATATATATATATATATATATATATATATATATATATAAATCATTTTCCTTTCTGGAATTCTTGATTAACTCCTAGCATCAAAGCGCGGAATTCGTAGCGTATTGAAATGTTTTCGTAGCAGTACAACGTCAATACATTTTCCCACTTCTCACCTATTTGTGGTTATAACGTTATGACTTAAAGGGCAAAGTCAATTACTTGATAAAGTTTTATTCTGATTTATACTCATTCTATACATCGTAGCCCAGACAACGTAGCGTTTCGGCGCTACAATACGTTCGTAGCAGAGCTACGTAAATAAATTAATCCCAAGAGCTCGCTTAATTGGGAGTCATGATGTCGTAGATGCTGGAAGGAAATTGTCATCATTGTGGTTTAATTCTTTGCCACAGAACCCCCGAGTTTGTACAACATAGTAATATATATGCGCAACAGGCATAATTTAATTATCTTCTATTTGCACCACAGCACAATAAAGCGCAAAGATGCTAAGAGGGTTATGTCATAGCGCATTAACAAAAATATCCATGCTAATATTGTAATTATGAAAGTATGTTTGTCCGTTTGTTAATTTTGACTACTAAACGGTTAAACGGATCTTGTTAAAATATATAAAAAAAAGGTTGTATCATGAGAACGAACAGAAGCTCTTTTATCTCTGAATAAGTAAGTTACGGGTATGGTGAGTGCGAAAGCGTGTCTCTCTGTTTTTTACAATTTCACAACTAAACGACTTAACGAATCCTAATGAAGTTTGACGTACAAGTAGAATAATGAATGTTCATTTGACATTTTATTAGAACTGAATGAATATGATGTATGAATAATATTATATAACTAGTATTTAATACGGCTTAAAAAAAAAAAATAGAATATGATAACTAAAATATATTATTAAAAGTGGTTCATCTTGGCAGCGTTCCCTCTTTGAAAAAAACTTTGCATATCACACATTGTATGTTGATATTGTTTTCATAACTTTGACAATTTCTTCTGGAATGTTTTCTCTACATACATATATGTATTTAATATGTATACATATAATTACACACACACACACCGTCATACACTGTACACCAGTATAATATCGAGTTGGGTCGCTAGTTCACTAATGAACGTATTCGATATTTAAATACTTTTAAAATACGCGTACAACCTAATTAATGACGTTAATGTACCGTAGCGTCGAATTCATGACAGCAATAAACGAAGTTTGCTATACATTTAGATATTTATTATTGAAGGAACGTAATAGAAACTGGGCATAATTAATGTGACCGTATAAGAAGCCGTAAAGTGGGTGGTAAATACGCATTTTCATCATTTTTATAGCTCAAGGAAGTGTACTACGAGCGATAGTATTAATGTAACGGGCCTTGGAAACAATATTGGTGCAATCTTCTTCGGTTTATTGTTATCGTCAGCTATATAAAATATAATTGATTGTCATAAATTGTACATAGGACTGGAATTTCGTGTCCAAAATGGTGAACATTTATGTGAATAAAATTAATGTTTCAATTCGTAAAGACATTAGCGAAAATTGTAATTTCATATTAAAATAGGCATATATTTTAACCATATGTAATATATACTAAATTTATTATAAATTATAACATAAGTCACATTATATTTAAATAAATTTGATATACAATTAATTATAAAATATAAAATGTTACGATCTTTCTTTTAATGACTTCGAGTGGCATTGAAACTGAAGGATTCTGTAATTTGCTTACGTAAAACTGTTTACCATTATAGAAAGTAAGTACAGCTATTGTAACTAATTAATTCGTTTAGATATTGTATCCAAGATAATACAATACTTCTCAACATTTTGGCTACAACATTATTATTTGAATTGAACATGGCAAGGGGCGAGCTTACGCTTATCTTTTTTGGTATTGCTAGAAGTACCGATTTAGAAATTATTCTTTAGGTATATTTAGTTTTTACGTTAAAATTATACCAATACTCAACTATTGTAGATTATTTCTGTGTTGGGCTCCAAACATGTATATAATGTTTAGGGAAACTTTTTTAATTGCTTATGTGATTGTTACTATATATATTTGTTGTACTAACACAATCGTTCTTTTTATAGGATTTTCTTTTTAAATTAAATATATATTATAAATATTTCACACGTATTTTCTTTTCTTATATAAAGTAAATATAATAATATTATAACTGGATAATCCTGAAAACCACATTTTTTTTCTAATTCTATTTCTTTATGAAACAAAATAAATTACTGTTTTATTTAGTTTTTAAATTTAGCTTTTAAGTTATTGAATGTAAGATAAGACAAGATATATTCCTGTCTTAATAACTGTAATTACATTTAACCTTAATATTTGTATGTGGTTTTATGACATTTTTTTGTTACTATAATTAGTGTAGTATAGTTATATGTATGTTTGTTTAAACACTTTATTGCACAGTAAAAACTAAAGTTAAAAAATATCTCGAAATTACCATGTCCTTAAGGAATAAAAGAGTTTAATACCGGATTTATCTCAATACAGGGATTTCTTCCATTAAACCTTTTAATTAACCTGATCTAATAGAGATAATATTCATATATAAATTAACGTTACTTATATCCTAAATATAATATTTTATTTGTGGTATCCTACATTAATTAGTTAACCTTTGCTAAATGTTACATTTTGACCTTAAGAGTGGGAGGAACTATTATAATATCACGTGAAGCATGTTTATCGACATCATTTCGTCTTTATTTTACTTCATTTAATGTTGTCATAATGTATTTGTTTTTTTATTTATCTCTTGGTATATTTAGACTTACTTAACTACATTTCTTTTTATAATTTTCTCATATTTCAAATACTTCATCCATTTATTTTTGGAATTTAATTGCCCTCAGTAACATCGATATTCTTAAAATAAGGAGTAAACTATTTTGAAGTCTTTATTGTTTATGATATAAAATAAAATTGATAATTAAATAAATTATGTACGTGTATTTTAAGCATTATATTATTTAATTATATATTAGAACATCAAGATAAAATTTTAAGTATAACTTACCATGGCGAATCGTAGAAATATTTCAAAATATCTATATTAAATTATAAAATTCTGACGCCTGTATAAATAATTATCACTAAATATATACAACTAGCTAAAGTTCAGTTATATTTTGGTGTTCAGATTGTTATTTTCTAGTCCATTACTCTATTTACATTACTTAGTTTTTATATACACAACATACTGTTATTTTCAACACATTCACTATTTTACCGGCAGTACCTTATCACAAAGATATCTCCAAGCTTACAATATGTATAGAACGTCAATAAAATATATTTACATCTAATATATTGGACAATCACAATAAATATCGTCTGACACGATAAAATCGCGACATTATCGTTTTTAAATATTTCTGGAATTAAATTCGTTGTAAATGTTACATTGGAATCGGTTATTTAATATTTTCGCGATTTTAATCCTTCGTTGGACAACTAATTGAGGTTATTCGTTGTGTACGACACATCACTTTTGTTCTGGTAAACATGGCAGCATTTGGCAACAGATGACAAGCGCGGGCGAGCCTGCCTGCGCCGGGAAAACGCGTTCATCTCATGTCACGACAGGCTTCCGAGCGGGCCGCCCAAAATAGGTTCCGTGACCGGCCAACATCAGAGCTGCGGCGCCACTGTCTGTTCCTTTTATTAGGAACCCTCTCTCTTATATCGGTAAAGCAGCACACCGTGAGAGGGAGACAACAAAGCTGCGTGTAAATCGATTGGCTGGAGAAAAGGGGCGGATGCCGAGCACGTGGCAATGGGTATTGTCATGGAATAGTGTAATAGTGGCGGAGTTTACAGTTTTCAATGCAATTCACTTTCTACGAAAGCTGCCAAGCGCGCGATACTATGAAAGTTATTTAACTCATTATCAACTGTGGGTTATATTGTTGGTTTATTATTGTAAAGTCCAGTCTTAAGAAGCACTTGAAAGTCGGTAATGTAATAATTTTTGAAACAATTTAAAGTTACATTGTTGAGAAGGTAATTGGATTATACTATTTTTATTAATTTTTAAAGTTGGAAATATATTTATCTATTCAAAACTTCTTTTGTTTACTATAGAATTGTCTTTGTCTGAGATATGGAAAACTTTTTTAAACTTGTGAATATCTAGATTCCACTACAAGAACATATCTGTATACATCTATAAGTCTATCTAATGTGTAGTTACCTACAATGGTCGGAGGATGGATGTATTTCTACCTCTTCATAATATAAGATGTCGTGTAACGAATGTGGAGCTTGTGGAGTGGGTAAACTAGTATTTGTTCATAACAGTTGTTTCTATTAGAGTACACATGTATATATATGTATACAATATCCATCTACCATTTAAAGAGAAACTTTTAAAATATTCTTTGAACTCGCACTTTTTATAGTATTTTTATAAATTATCTGCTATTATCTTAACGGATAATTTGATATATAAAACTTTGAAAAGCAAATAAATGAATTTAAATTATATTACCTGTTTGAGTACTGGAGTCGAAGAAAGTACTGGTTGTCTCTACTGTCATGGTGCCGATGGTGCCATCTAATATTTGGGTTGACGAGTCTCGACGACCGCGAGCGCGCATACAGGCGTCATCGCTTTGAGAACTTTGACGTCTAAAATTACGACAACGAATCATCTCTTCTGTCGTAGATTGTCTTCGAAACCCACGAGCTATCAATATCTCTTCCGTGGTAGACTGACGTCTTATTATTGTTCGTTCGGGAGGCCGAGCGCATGGACTTGGATCACGACTTGAACATGAACTAGATTCTGGGCTTCGGGCCCGACCTACTCTAGCGCATGAAGCTTGTCTTCTTAGACGACCTCGACGTCTTGCTGCTGAGGGACTAAGCTCTCCGCCACCTGCCCTGTCAGGACTTAATTGAGACCGTTCCCTTCTTGGACGCGCGGCTGAATCGGGGCTCAACGAATCTCTTCTTGCCCTACCTTCATCGTCGGGTCCCAAAGATGGTCCAGAATCTCTACGTCTTGTTCCAGGTGGACCGGTAGGATCGTCGAATGCTGTAGCTTGTCGTTGTAACCTTCCAAGCCTACGTTCTGGGCTTGCAGCTGCTCGGGAATCTCTTCTTGCTCTTCCACATTGTGTTGTGGAATCACGACGACCACCTAAATTAGGTGGAGTACGACCGCCAGGTGTAACTTGTGTGGATTGTGCTGATTGAGTAGCTTGGGATGTCTGCACAGCTTGAGCAGCATTACCCGGTATTGTTGGTGAAGTAGGCGAAGGCGTTACAGCGGATGTTATGATTGTAGGCATTGTCATGGGTTGGCATTCGCCATCTGATCGACTTGGTTCATGCACTGCTACTATGGTAACACAGGGTGGTTGACTTGATGGTCCAGCATCTAGGGAAGCATCTACAAAAGATGGTGGAGCAGGAATAGGTGGTGAAGCCCGTCTCTTTCTTTGGGCTGCTACTATTCGCGGAGGCGGAGCAACGGAGTCACGACGATGTCGGTGTCCTTCTACTGAATCTCTACGTCCTTTATCATCATCACCAGATCCCCGCCTTTTGATGCGCCGTTCTCTTGGTGTTGGCATAATTATAGTGGAATCTTTGCGTTCCCAGCAATTTGGGAAATCTGCACGAAAATCATTTGGTGCAGCTTTCGAGTCTCGACGTTTGGAAGCCATGGATTTAATTCCGGAATCTGCAGACGAATCGCGCCTGCGTCGAGGGGGAGGTTCGTGGCGCGCCCAGGGTAGGGAACGTGCTAGGTCTGCCAGGGTTTCCCTTCGGGAAAGAGGGGCTCGTTGACGCCGGGGTCCACTGCCACCTCCACCCCACTCGCGTAAGATATCTGTAAGTTGCGCTAGCGATGAACGGCGGCGTCGTGGACCTCCTGAAACATAAATAAATGTATACAGCTTTTAGTAGTATTTTAGGGATGTTGACTTAACATAAAATTGCTTGCATTAACTAAAATACCTAATTAAATAAAAAACATCAAATTGATAACGTTAATAGAATGTACACTAAATTGTAAAGTGTAGAACTTTATAATTTAGTTAAGTAGTTATTTTATAATTTAGATTACATTCTGATAATTTTTAAAACGCTTGTTTTTATTTTATTTTACGTATATAATATAAAACTATCATTTAAAATATCTAAATTGAAAGATGTATTTTTAAGTATATTATTTAAGTGTACTTATGTATAGTTTGAATGTTATAGCCATGTGATTAAGTTATTACTTAGTGTAACAAAATATCGGTATACAATTAATGAAATAATAAGGCTGAATCTATCTGCGGTTAACTGTCATATGTAACTGCATATTTTTATGATGGGTATTTATTTTATATTAATAATTAAGCTTGTGATTTGGAAATCTCATTCATTTTATTAATGTTATTATTGCATTGTACAGTGACTATTATAACAAATTATTATTTAGGCATACCCCTTTGTTGATCGGCGTCGGGCTCTGGTGGGGACAGACAAGAGACTTGCGCAGCGGAGTCTCTCCGACTGCCAAGTCTTTGTCTGAGAGTGGACTCTTCTAATGTGGACCTCGTCAATTCGTCCCAACCGTTGCCTCCAGCCCACACAAGTCCCACTTGATGAGACAATATCGGCAGGTTGCAAACGAAACATATTGCGGTCATTGTCCTGTTGAGAAATAAAATAAAATTAGAAGCCGATCTTAGCTTATATTAAATTTCTGTACAATGTCCTTTGTAGTCACTCACGCTTTGTTATTTTGAAAATTTGTATCAGGATACATTGTGTACGATACGCCGTCTGCTCAATATGCAATATGAATAACCGTGAAGCCAATATCGCGCCCTTGTATTCGCATCACTGGTCTGATAACTAAACTATGTGATACTAAGTATTAACCGCTTTTATACTTATTGACAATAACATTATCATTAAACAGTCTAAGTTTAGGAATTGTTCTGACTTTACATTTTTTATTGATAAGCGCAACTACGCGCGTTTATTTAAAAATGAAGACCTCAAAAAGGAATTTTCCTCGTTTTTGCAACATTTTTCGTTGATAATCCGCTTCTACTATCATAGCGTGGAGTTTTATATTTATATCTATAGTCTTCCACGATAGGCATAATAGAGCACTAAAAGAATTCAAACAAATAGATCCTGAGATTAGGGAGCTCAATCGAAGAAACAAACTCTAGCTTTATAATATTAGTACCACAGATGAAACAGTTACTAAAAACATTATTTTCTGTTTTCCAATTCAATTAATAATATGGAGTATTTCAAGCTTGGTGATGCCAAATTGTATTACATTAGATAAAGTTTATCGGAGGCGTTTACAGCTTTGTTGTATATTACATCCATTTATGAGTCGATATTACATACGATTGATATTACAGGCAGCGTTATTGTGTCGTCAAGCAGTACATGATGTTTTGTTGATAAAGCCTATCTACCGGCTGTTCGGATGAACGAATTGCACCCCAAACGTTCAAGAATTCAGTACCGAGCTGATGTTTTGTGATGTGGAAACTATGAATGTGTTCGCTCAGAATGAAATTAACTACATATTCACAAAGGAGTTATATTTATATACAGTATCATTCTGTAACTAAATGAATAATAAAATTCTGAGGAGAAACACTCAGTCTTTGAGTAAACACATTTCTATGATATTAATGTCACTGTTTAATTTAACATAAATGTTTCAACCAAATGTAAAATGTATCTACTAAGTGTCTACTAGACTAGGCTTACTAAATGGGGACTACTATATTATTATTAACTTTAGCATAAACTTCTGAATCTACAAGGAATGGTCTATACTTCCTCTTGATTATAATGTTACTACCTAACAGTTCTACAGATTAGTCTACTGTGCAAACTTAGGCTATGATTGACTTGTTAAATGATATTACGAGTACATTAGTGAACTGTGTAATTTTATGTTAATATTAGTATGCGTGTTGCTAATTGCGCTGTGTTCAAGTAAGAGGTACTTTTGAAAATGAAGTTTTTTGAAGAAGCATGCACTACTATAAGAAAATCAAAATATACTAAATTATGGGATATAGGGTAATACTAATCGACAAGTTTGTCTCGTCTGCCGACTATTACTGAAAGTTGAAATAGGTTTAGATTATAGCCTATAAACAAGCCATGGTTTCGACATTTTTTAGAAACTTCAATCATACAAAAAAGACGGCACAATTATTTTGATTTTAAAATATAGATACTTTATAAGTAAACTTTTGTTAATTAAAATTATAAACTTATGTTTCAGAATAACGTAACTACGTAACATTATGACACTTTAGAAAATTAATATAAAGTTTAGAATCAATTACATCAGTCCGTTAAATATGATTATTTGACTTTGAATTTAAAGGTACCAGAATATTTCAGGTACAGTTCGATACTGTCTTAATTATATGGGTAATTAAATAAATTGATACTCAATCAACTAAACAATGTCGATTAGCAAACATTACATTATATGTGTGTTATAAATACAAGGACTACAAGGATTAGTGGTGCAGTCTAGGGAAGCGTTAGGTGTTTACTATTCATGCTTGGTTCTTCTCGGGGACCTGTAATGACGTAGACGAGGTGAAGGGGACTGAGGCATGTCGGAAGCCGGGGCATTGGGGGCAGGGCGCTAACTGAGAGTAAATCCCACATACAATATCACATCAAACACTTTGTACATCTGAAACAATAGGATAAGAATTAGTGTCGATACCGCTATATATATGGACGACATGTTTAAGCACGATGATAGCGAAATCTGTCAAAGATATTTCACGTCTTATTATTTGTTGGAGATGCCAATAAAATTATAGATAGGAAACCTTATATAATTTTGTTGTATAAATAAATAAAATATGAATGTGAAATAGAGAATACAATGTGTTGTCATACGTTTTGCTATGAACGTTGTCTTATGTTTTATTTGTTCTTTAGATATTATAAGAATATAAAATTTTACGCTTTAATATCAACACCTTGGTGTTTTAACAATTTTACCATTATTTAATTTCCCGTGTATTTAACTTACCTTGTTGAAATAAATGCGTCATTTTCACTTACCATTCAAAGACGTGAAAATATCTTACTTGTGTTATTTAAGTATATGTAGTTGTTACTATTTGTATAAATAGTGACATGGAAACTAATAACGTTCATTTATTTGAAACAGTGTTTGAATTACAAACTAAACAAAATATGTATTGATGTTGTTTTTGTACTGTCTGTTAAGTGTTTGTACATCGTCGGCTTTTGCAACCAGGAATCCTAGAGCAAGCAGCGTAAAAATAACTATAGCATAATAGGTAAATAAATGTATAGGAATTAAGCTGTCAAGGAGTATATACGTAACTTAACATTACATTTATTGTAAAGATATTTATTAGGAAGAAACATATTTTGTATGTAGATTTTGGACGGTCCTACTATGTCACGGTTGTGATTTAATATCTATTTCTAAGAATGTTTAAACAATATTGTACATATATATTTAATTACAATAATTTATTCGTAGTACGTCATTATGTCCGTTATTGTAAAAATATAGAAAAGTTGTACAAGGAAACTCTTGTATACTTGTGACCCCACCAACAAAATATACGTAATACCTTTAACTTCCGATAGATGGCAGTTCAGAAAGCTCATTGTGGAGAGAGTCGCTGAGAGAAAATTTTCAGAACTAAATTGTAGATGACGCTGTAAAAAATATGTTTCCAACTAAATAATGTTACCGCTAGAGGGCGGTATTTCAATGAAACAGAATGTTAGAAAAAATGTTATGTTAAAACTTTAGATGACGTTTGTCTGAGGTGTTTAGTAATAAAGTAATAAGACCGATCATTGTTACTTTTAATTACGTATTAAATTTATTACTTTATGTACTGTATTCCTTTTTTCTAAATCGAGAACGAAAAAATACATATAATTAATGTTTGTTAAGTTCATAGCTACATAAATTTAATTATTTTTTAAGTAACTTCATTCGCTATATGGCTGGTGTCACCTTAGGAATAAGACGATTTTGTTTTATTTTGTAATGATTTTAATTAATTTTAATGTGAAGATAACACTATCATGAACATCTTTAATTTCAAACTTATCATCATGTCTAATTTCATAAGAGGCTAACCCTTCCCACATTAAGGGTGAGGAAAAGGGTTGCCAAAGTATTGTTTGGAAGCAAGGGCTCTAAATTTCATGATGCCTAATTTTGAAATCTAATCTATCCAAGTATTACAACTCAAAGTGTTTGAACTGTTAAGAATAAGTGTTTAAATTTGAATGTGTAATGTCACACTCGGGAATGGTCTCAGGATCTACCATAATAAATGATGGATTACATTAATGTGTTTATAACAACTACTAGAATTATTTTACTTATTTCAAAAAGAATAGTATTTGCATATTCTTCTTAGTTTTCATACTATCTGAACTTGATCATAAAAATTATATGATACAGTGGCCATCTACATCATAAAGGATCAAGGGGTAGACGGGTTGATGATTTGGAAAAAATAGATAGCTAGGATCAAGCGGAGAATAGAATTGAACATAAGGCTTTAAAATTTGATATAGGGACATCTAAAGACACACTATGTTTATTATATTTTCAAATACAGTTTATTTTTTTGTAAATCAGAGCTTTGTAGCGTTGGTGTTGTGTGATTGGCAGGCTTGTAACAGTTAAAATCCTTTGTATTTTTCTTTCTATTCGTAACAAAGGTAAACGTAGCTTTAACGAACCAACGTTAAATACTTTAAATTTTATTGAGAACACTCGTAATGGAAATGTTGTTCATTTTATATTGGTTTTTACTGAACGTAGAGAAGTAACGGATGAAGTTTTAAATGAAATCGGTACTGTTTGTACCCTTTTGCTCTCTGACTTGCCCATGCCCAGATAATTCAATTAGACTTCAATAGATAAATGTTATGATGTATTTTGCAACGCCTAAATTAATAAGATTACTGAACGACTATAGCAGCTCCAACAAAGTCTTCTAGTGTTTTCTATGATACGTATATATACTTAGTTTTGAATTTACAATATTAAATGTCATAAAAATGACATTTTATTCACTAGAATTTGAATTCGCATATTTCAGTTATCAGGAAATCTTTCTAGAGCAGCTATAGCTAAGTAACATTTATATTTAACGGCCTCGGTGGTTTACCTGTTTTGCACACCGCTTTACTTCCGATGGTCGCGGGTTCCATTCCTCACACGGTGTAAACACTTGTGTTCGTGTGTATGATTGTTTTTATCTATCTGGATATAAGTAAATTATGTATATGTATCTAAGTATATTATGTTTGTATTTAAAAAAAATATTTAAGTATTTATATCAGTTGTCTAGTACCCATTACATAAGCTGTGTCAACAGTGGGACTAGATGGCGTTGTGTTAATTGTACGGTTATTTATTATTATTAATTATTCATGTTTTTTTCTCATATGATAGAAGTCATTAACATAAGATGCTTATTTATTAAAGCAACTTTTTATACTCTTAGAAAAACGCTTGTAATTTGAAACATGAAAGTATTAAGTTTTTACTGCTACTTCTTTAATTACAGCCTTCGAGACAGACGTTTGGTCTTTAGTGTTGCCATAAAAATGGAAAAGTAAAGGCTTATATCTTCATACCCTAAAATGTTTTATTTTTCTTTTCCCTAATTATGGCATTACTTTAGTCCGTAGTAAAACATGTTTCAAATAATTTAAATAAAGTATTCTAAGTTATATGTTGGTTTAGATTAAAAATATGCGAATTTATGTAGACACTAGACATGAATTAATTTACACTTTTAATTATTTGTGATATTTTCCGAATAAGAATGTAGAAATATCGTGAAACGGCTTTGTGTGATAATTGAGTAAGAAGCACATATTTTCATCCCCATGTATCAAGTAGGTTAGTAAATCTCTATATATTATTAAAGTAATATATATATCAACACAGTATTTTCCTGTTGGTAATAAAAATATAAAATAAAAATGCAATTATATTTTGTGCGTGATTTGTGACCTATATTCGCTAGTAGATAGGTTAATAGTTAATGTGTTCTCATGACGAGCGTGCAATTACTGTCTAGAAATATTTCAGTTACTGTATATATTTCAATTGGTACTTTTCTCTTAAGAATATATTTGAAAGAAAAAATGGTCTGCATTTAACAACATTATTATAAAATATCTGGTCGGATTACAATAAGCTATTCAAGACAGGTTTTGTAACGTCTGTGATGCTGAATAATGGAACCTCTTTGATTATATAAAAAAACCAGAGAAGATTAGATAGAAATCAAATTACTTAAATGTTATCCACGTACCTTGTCAGTTCTATTGAATTGAGAAATGGAGTTTAATTAAAATAATGATTTTATGTAACAGGCAAATTCGAATATTACGATTTAGAGGTGCTAATACTGCAACTGTTTTTTAACAATATTTTGTTACTGAAATTCATTGAAATTTTTACATAATATAAAAAGAAGTCGTTTCCGCTGTCTGTTCGCTTAAATCTCTTAAATTACGCAACGTATTTTAATATAGTTTTTAGCATTAGATAGAGTGATAAAGATGAAAATTTTTATGTATAATACATGTACACCAGTGCTAAGGTGGGGCGAATAGCTAGTTTATTATAAATTTATAGGAATATATAATGTACTCTACTCGTAAAAAGAGTGAATTATATTAAACTGCTGAATCACTGCGTCGATTTGAAAATTTATTTCATTATTTGATAGGTACATTATGGTAGAAGGACATAGGACATTTATATTTATATTATATTTATATTTTTAATTACGGACTGAAAGGAAAAATATTAATACAAAAAACTTGACTTTCATAAGCTTACTTGTTCAAAGAGCTTTAAGTTTCTTTTTTGTTCTTGTGGTGAGTCTGCTTTCCGATTAAGTAATAGAATGAAAAAAAATGAAATGTCCATATTCCATTTATTTCGACAAACTTTATTTCAATTTCTATGTATATATAAAATAAATAATAAATTTCATTGTAATCAATACAATAATTTCCATTCAAAAGTCTGAAAAAATGAAATTATTAAACCTAATATTCATTCAAAATATAGAGATAAACAGAGAAACCACGAATTCAAATCAGCTGAACATGTAATTCAACAAAATAAAGCAAGCCTCGTGCGGTTACATTATAGGTTCTTCTTCCAACTTCATGAATATGGTGGAAAGTTTCTTAAACGATTTTCCACTAAGCACCGAGCTAATTGAATTTTATGTTAATTTATTCCACCTAATGACTGTCGTATGGAAATAATAAAGGGGTTAATAAGTAGCCTCAGTCGAGTTATATTGTTAACTCCATAGGGAATTATAAAGTTACTTACAAGTTTCCTAAGTAATTATGTGTGTTTTCTATTATCTAAGTAAGGAAATGTATTACCAATAACACATAATTACTCTAACGAAAATATACAAATATTTATTTATTTCCACTCTTACAGTTATTTTCACAATACCATTAATATTATGAAAATAAGTGCAACAAATATATATTTTTTATAATTAGTTATAGCTTACAATAGATAAAGATATTTTAGTAATTCATTCAGAGAGT